TACTAGGCTAACCTAGGATTAGTCTTCCATCAAATATCGATACTGATATAAAAAATGGATATGACTATTAATCTATGAATTATGATGCAGATGCAGTGGGCCTATACCACCCGTGTATATAATTTCTTTCGGCTTGCTAAACTAAGAAGTAAGAAGGCACAATCTTATTACCAGATCTAAATGTATCAAATCTCAGAATAGAAAACCTCAGAAGGAAACGTCAAACACACAAATAGGAGTGTTATCATATTCACAAGGCAAAGTTTTGCTTTTTCCGAAAGTGATCACACATAACTCTAATGAGTTTAGGTCGACCCACAAATTCAGTCGATTTGACAAGGCTTATAAAAATTGGATTAATCGATTAAATTTTAAATATATTAAATGTTATATAAATTGGATTTAATAAGGGATTAGGAAAGTCTTTAAAGCAGTTAATTCCACTAACATTAGGTTCTTTTTATTTTCGTCATAATTGCCGCCGAGAGAGGAAGAGCCGTACGTTCCATTGTGGCGGTGATGGGACACAAATTGTGGCGATGGAGATGGATGGTCGATCGTAGCTTTTCTCTCACAAATCAATCTGTTTTTGGAACACCGATAATACTGCCAATGAAAATCAGGGTAGCAACTATCAATCAGTGTTTTAAAACCCGGATCGACCCGGCCGGTCGGACCGGTTGGACCGGGAACCGGTGGTCACACCGGTCCGAATCTGAAGTTAGATCGGTTATGCAGTCAACCCATTTTAAAACGGATTGAATTGGTCAATTTTCCGGTTCAACCGGTGAACTGGTGGGTCAAACCGGTTCAATCACTTTTTTTTTTTTTTTTTAATTTTTTAAGGGACCATAAATCACAAAAATAATAATGAAAATTGAATCTCTTAATGAAAAAGCAATGAGTCTTATTAAATATAACAATGACTACTTGTTCTAATATATTTGTTTGTAATATATACAACTTAAATAACTTTTATAGTATATTATTAATTTTAAATTATATATTTAATAATGCAATATCTATGTAAATATTACATATATTATTTTGTGATATTAATTGCAAGCATATTATATATGTACATATTATTTATATTTTTAATTTGTATTAATATACCGTTTAACATGTAATTTTTTTATGTATTTTTTTACAAAATAAAAATAAAAATAATTTTAAATAAGATAGAAAAATTAAAATTTAAAATAAGATATATTTAATATGAATACTTTTTAATAAAAATAAATAAAAATCGAGTCATGCGGTTCAACTAGTGACCCACCGGTTCAACCTTTGACCCACTGACCCAGTACCTTAACCGGTTCGATGACCGGTCCGATTTTTAAAACTATGCTATCAATGCAAGAGTGCTCTTCTTCTTTCAAAATTTATATTACTGTTAAAAAGATAAAATATGTGAATAAAATAAACATAATTACCTTCAATATAATGCAAATAAACATATTTCTATTTTTATATAAAATAATATTCTTTTCCCATTTCCTTCTTATTTTAAATAAATACATCCACCCTCTTTTATTCAACCATCACAAACGTCCAAATTTCTGTACTTTTCCTTCTTCAATCATTCTTTCCCATTTCCACTTAAAAAAATTTATTATTGGAATGACCCTTTTTAATATGTGAAATTATGATGAATATTTAATATAATTAATATAGCTAAAATACATCAATTAATTTACGTGGAATTCACGTGTTCATCGACAACAATCATTGAAATAAAAGAATTAAACTGGCTCAGTTAATATATTGATTCAAAATTACCGAGTGTATTTCACGTAATATTTATTTAATTAAATACAAATTATACAATAATACATTTCCCTTTAAGTTCTACCTAGTACCGGATTTCATGCACTAGGCTACGAATCTTACCTGTAGAAATAAAAGTTGGACGGCCAAAATTTCTCTTATAATTTCATTTATTTTCAGCCACGTGTTTAAAATTATTTGTGGGTTGTATAATAAAAAAACTAGCTAAATTTGAGGAGAGTGATATCATACATAGAATAATATATATAACAGTTTTTGCTTTTTTAATTAGTTTTACCTCCTTATTTATTATACATTTTATTTTATAAACAATATATATATTTTTATAAGATATAATTTTGTTCAAATCAAATAAAATTATTAAAAATTCAAAAGTAATTTCCTTTTGAAAATGTGTTTTTTACCTTTACATATTTTTGATGGTATCACTTCATTTGTTATATAAATAAAACTAAAAAAAAGGAAATAAAAGAAGAGAAAGAATAAGAAGAAAAATAACTTAATTTATTGGGTGAAAAAGCTTTCTCTCCAACTAAAATAAAAAAAAGAGAATAAATTGAAAAGACAAAAATATTCCTTATAATATTATATGTACATATTTATTTAAAGATGTAAATATTATTTTACAAATATATTTTTTTTCTCTCTCACTTTATTCAAACAAACAAGAGTGTGACCCAATTAAAATATTCTCTAATATCAAATGATTAAAATATTATTTATTTTCTCTTGTGAACCGATTATAAATGTTTTTTTTTATTTTCTAATCATGTTTTTATTGTGGATGCTCACAAGCTATCAGAATAACAATATTTTGAGTTGAGTGTGAAAAAAATCTAATGAAAATCATCTAGATTTGATTGATACAGCTTACTTACAATAATAAGGAGTGTAAAATGTAAAGTATATAATATTGGTGTAGACGTATTTATCCAAAAACAGAAAAGGAGGAAAAGACTGAAAGAAGGTGAAAAGGATGGAGCAGTGTGTGTGTATTAGAATTGAAGAGACAGGGACAGGCAAGATGTGTGTTGGAGGTGAGGATTCTGTGATCTGAATTTGAAGATCACACTATCATCCACCAAACACATTAATAGCCCTAATAATTCCAAGCAACAGCCTGTGCAATCACCTATTCCAAGTTGAATTCTGGATGGGACACTTTTTTGTATTTTTCTTCTTCCAAGCAACCATTTCTTCTGGTTTATGGCCCAACATTGTGCTATGGGCCCTGTAGCCTTAGGGGTGCATCAGTAGGTGTAGCTTCACATCTCCAATGCTATTACCGTTACTATGGTAGATGGGCCTTCACTACCACCCATCAAATTCCAAAGTGGTAGCCCAGCTTGTGTTCTATACAATGAAATCTGCCTACAAGAGTATCCTATGGTTCTGTTCTGGTTGGTACTAGTCTCGTTTCATGTCCATGTTGTTCTCAAATCATACATGGGTGATGTTAAGTGTTTTCTTTCTCTAATTGAAGTTTAGGGTTTAATTTTTATAATTTGTAAAGATCAAAAAATAAATTGAAGTTACATTTTAAAAAGTATATGTAATTTTGTCTTCATGTCATATCTTATTCTACCATATATTAACCACCAAATGGGCACTAAGGTCTTAATGTCTTTCAAATAAAAATAAAAATAACTACTGAGATACTATTTAAATCCCCAATGACCTCTTCATTGTTTCCAACAATTATTGGATTATCAAAATAAATAAAAATACTCAAGATCTATTAATGTGATAAGTAAATGAGAAATTTGAATAGAATTACTTGAAGTCGTAAATCTTAGAGCAGCAGCAAGTTTCAGAAATCAATTGTATGGGATAACTGTATTGCTATTTTGCTGTTTTGTTTTAGTGGTCATTGTAATCAATTTCCTCCTTTCAGTTATCTGTATGAACAAATACTCTCACCTCACAATGCTTAATTGTTAGATTACAGTGGTACTTGATTTTGTAGTCATTTGCCTGCAATAACTTTCTTCTCAGGGACATTGTCTCTAGTGTTACCATTCCGCTTTAAAGGTTTCCGGCTTCCATCTTTTCAGCTTATAAATATATCCAAATAGCACCAAAAAATCATTGGCAAAGGTAAAAAAGTAGGAAGCACCAAAAAAGAACATACATGATAAGTAGCCCACACATGACAATGTATCAATTCAAAAGGTTCAATGGTTTTGTTATGACCGGAATTAAAAATATCTAGTTTGCTTAGCTGTCAGATATCACATATTTGCTCATTATTATCATACTCAACAGTGTGAATATCAGAATCAATTCTACTTGCTTTGTGGGTCTGCATACAAGTGACTACGCCAAAATAATAGACCCCATTCACTAGCTCACCTATACCAATCCCTGTTCTCAAAATACAACATATTGTACTACAAAATTTATTAGAGAGAAGTGATTGTATAATGAGTCATGTATTAGTTGAGACACAAAAATAAGATTGAAAGATTAGATTTGTCCATGTTACTCAAAATTAATCCTTCGACAAAGTTTATTGTTACTTTCGTTACTGCAATTGCATTTTTTTCGATCGTGTCATGTGATTTGCGGCTTCAGTGTCCAACAGCGAAAGTTTTTGCACTTGCTTACCAGTAAGGCTTTCAATGGACTATACATGCTTTTGACTATTAATAGTCAATAGAATTGCCCATTATTCTGAGACTAGGAAAAGAATCACGGGGACCACTATAGAAACAATATTGCGAAGTTATTTCCAATATTCTTCTATCCATAAACTTACTCCTAAATATATTCAGAATATATTTACCCAATTTCCCAATAGGCTTAATAATATAAACAGTGAACAATTTAAGGCCATCAAAGTTATTGATAGCTCTGATATTCAAACAAGGGATATCGTCCACCTTGTTCAAGAAATAGTCAAAATTATAATGGCCCTGTACTCGTTATATTTAAAACACAGCAAACCAAGGATCAATATAATGCTGAAAAATAGAAAAGGATCAAGTTCTAAGTTTTGTTGTAATTATGTAATATATACACAGGTGGTATTTATGTATGTATATATGTATCAGTTAGATGCGTAAAGCTTACAACGAACTTACCTAAACAAAATAGTCATCCTTTTAAGTAACATATAATTTATGGACATATTGTGTGTTTGGTTTGCAGTTATAAACCAGCAAACATCTGTTACAAATTCATGTTTTTCTATTTTTGAGCTATGGAAAGTTAAATTTCTATTTGCATAAGTACAAACGGTTTTCTAAACACACATCAGCCGTTCTTTATTCCCAGAGGAAAATAGATAAAAGAAAAAAAAATATACATATGATAGAAAAGAGAAATATTAAGAAATGAGGAGTATTTTCACTGTATAGGGTGTCCGTGCATGATTACACTTTAAGCAACTGGGTCATGTGACGCACACTGGAGTGTTCTAAAGTAAGCACCGAGGTCACAGGTAGCCATGACAACTGACTTTTGACCAAATGTTTTGTTGGGGGATCGGACAGACTTTTCCTGTTCTGCTTTGTTTCTTTTGGCTCTCCATATGCATATACAGCGAAAAACAAGTTTTTGTTGCCCAACTTTCCTTAATTTTCCCACCTTGGGGTCCCTTTGAGCAGTACTAGATCCCAAAGTAATTAATTAAAAAAAAAAAGTATTAAGTTAGAGGAGGATGAAGAGATAAAGCCATCAATCATAAAGTTTATTCTGCCTCTGTTCATAGAAAGAAAAGTAACATCACTACACAAGTGTATTTTCTCAAATAATTTGTACAGAGTGAAATACCAAAGACAGAAAACACGAGACTTGCAGGTGTCAAAACTCAATCTCCTCTTTTCCATATAATGTTTAATTGTTATGCGATTGAACTCTCTGCTGCCCTATATTTATATGATTAGGAACATCCAGTTCTCACTAAAAAAAAAGGCATATAATGAGATATAGCAAGAACCGTGCGCCCAATTTCCTACTGCAACTGTATATTGGCTATGAATATAATCAACATGAGTAGCCAAGGGGAACTTCCTCGTAGAATTAGGCTAGCTGAGAATCCAAAAAGAAAAAAAAAAGGATTATAGCATGAATAGGATTCAGGAGAAATTCATAGTCACTCATTCAATGTTAGTCTTCTGGATGAGAATTAAATAGCAAAACACAAATCATGCAGACCTCGTCATACAGTTATGAATTTACACTCATTCTTACCATTCTCATTCAATGTTGGTGGCGGAGCAGTGGATGAGTTTTTCACTGATATTCCAAGGTTAGAGCAATCCATATCAAGAGCACCTTGAAGACAAATATAAAATCACAAAGTCATTTTGGATTAATTTGGGAAAAAAAGAAAATACAGTAAATAATTTTTTACCTCCAAAACAATGATTAACAAATGAATTTAAGTACAATTGAGGTTTTATATTCTCACATTCTTTGTAGCAAGGTAAGGCAGTTGCATTGAGAAGATTGTAATAGCCAGCATCACACTTGCAATTATAAGAGAATAAGGATGTTTTGTTGCACATGCCACCTCCACAATCAACCCATTGGCAAGCTACATAAACATATGACCAAAATGTTACAATGCGTTACAATCTATCAGAAAAAAAAAAGGTGGATAAGAGCTGCCAATAATTATATCTGTAAAATTTCGATTACCATCAAATATGGATTCATTTGCTTTTCTATCTTTTTGTTGGGAAGGGGCAGGGGCACTGGAGCAAGAGTGGTTCAGAGTACCTACAACGGGGATCATGAAAATCTTTCAGCATCTGTTAAAATAAAAAATATTCTTAATAGTCATTAAGAAAACTTGAGAGCTGTTCTAAACAACCACAATTCAAATCTTAATCTGTGTGGAAGTTTTTATTAAGGATGGCTCAACAGTTATTTTAATTGATAAAGTTGCAATATCAACACCATGCTTTTTGATTATTGGTAAGTTGAACTGTTTCACTTGAGATTTGCTAAAGGCAAAAAAGGATTATATTTCAAAATCTGCTACAAGCCTCAAATCGCAGGTTTGAGTAATTTGTACTTATTGAAAATAGAAGTCATTGTTTCAATATCTTAGTCTGTTTAAGTACTTATTCTGTATTTTTGTTTTACTGGTCTCAGACTCTCAGTTGATTCCCTCTTTAATGCAAATTAAACTGCTGGGCATAACATCCCCTAATAGTACTAGTACTCTACTTTACAGCTTCATAATGAAACTACATTGTATTAGCAACTTCAGAATTATTATCTTTAATATTAAGCAATGCTTGAATGTCATACCATGACTTAAGTCTTCGCTTTCATATTACATTAATATCTTAATCCAAAGAACAAACTTTGACAGAATCCATATATGCAAAGAAAATCTATACCCTTTAAGCAAGAAATGCATTTTATTAAGTTTCCACCAATTATCTTCCTTTGTTGAAAGTCAATTGCTTCAAAACTGAGTGATTTAGACACTTCCACATAAACTTTAAAAATAATTTTACCAAATACCAGACTTTTTCAACCACATGCAGCTAAAAATAGTGACCAAAAACATACGCATAACATAACAATAACAATTTATGCCTCCTAAAATTGCATGTGTTATTGTGTTAGTATACTACTACTGAAAGCAAGCATCCTATAAAAAAAATGCAGTATTTAGATTAAATCAAGCACAGAATAATCCATAAAAAATAAAAGCGAATACTTAGCTTCTTTTTGGAGGTGAGAGAATGCTTACAGTTGGGAACTATGCAAGGAAGAAACCCGAAGCCCCCATCATGAGCAGAAAGATGTTGCCTCCAACCTGGGTCGCAATCGCATTCAAACATGAGAGTTCTATTCTTGGAAGGCTTGCAAGTCCCCTTTCCACATTCCACTGCTTTGCAAACATCATCTGAACTCAACTCATTGCAAACATAACAAGTCAAAAGCAAATTCATAAGTCTAAGCTACAAATCAATTTGTAAAAAAAAAAAAAAAAAAAGAACTTGAGAAGACTCATAAGAAGAAAAGTCATGGAACCTCAAGCCCGTGAATCCAAAGTGGCAAATACAGAATCCCAATAAAGAAATGAAATCCAATAAAAATAAAGTAAGCAAAAGAAAAGGGTGACATTCACAAACCATATAATGGAGAGAGCAGAGGAGATAGAAGATCACTTCTAGCTGAAAGAGTTTGCAGGAGAAGAAAAGCAATGACACTTGCGAAGGCCATCTTTAACGATAAGAGAGAGAGAGAGAGAGAGAGGGTCATAAATTCACAATAACACGGAGATCGTGGCTATCTAACAGTTGGATACATTCATCTAAACTTAACTGTATAAACCCAAGAATTTATGTTGAAAGTCGTTAGTCTTTGAGGCCATTTTCTGCACTAAAATTCTTCTACTTTATGTTTTGATCCTACCAATTATGCATCTCCACGCAGTGACGTGGCCATTTTGATTGATAAAGATCTCCAACAATGGAAAATAAACGTTGATTGCGGTCCAATCTAAGAAAAGAGGTACAGTATATCAATCTACTCTTTCTGAATTTATATATAAATAAAAAAACTAATTTAGTAATTAAATATATTTAATTTTCATAGTTTCATATAAACTATATATTATATTTGTTACAATATTTTTAAATTAAAAATATGAAATAAGATTTACTTAGTTAAAATTTGTTTATATTCAAATACAAAATTTTTAAACATTTTTTATTTATACACAAGTCTAAATAAAGTATACAATAATGATAAAAAAAAATTAAAAATTAAAAAGTAGGTGCACTACAACGTGATGATTTTTAGTAGTTAAATTAATCATAATGAAATCATTTAATTTGACCTATGTTGCCATGACGTGTTGGTATCTACTTTCTAGTTTGCATTTAGAAACCCTTTGTGATGGTTCTACGAGTCCACCCGCAGCAACACGGCAAATGTTTTCTCGCCTTTTTTTGGCTCCTTTCTCTTTCACTAATTAATTTTTTGTTTAGAATAAATCAATACTGATTTACGAGTTCTTTATACTTTTAAAGATCGACTGCTAATTAAAGAACTAACATCTATATTGTATACCCAATTTTCCAAACAAGAAAAAATAATGATTATTCGTTGCCTAAGGTTGCTGCGGCTGAATTTATATATAAATAAAAAACTAAAGTAAGTAATTCATGAAATTATTAAATAATATTATTTAATAAGCGATTATATATTGTTTGATTCGATGTATTATGTATAAAAAGTGATTAATTTAAAATATTTCTTTAAGAAAATAATATTCTTTCTGCAAATGATATATTTTTCACAAAAACTAGGTTCTATATCCATTTTGACAATATAGTTTCTTTGACAAAAAAATAGTATTTTAAAATCCATAATTTTTTTTTTATAATTTCCAAAAAAAAATATACTTTTAAGTATCCTATAGCAACATTGATACAGAACTTGGTGTGAGAGAATGCTAAATAGTTCATTATTGTTAAGTTTATTGCTTCTTAATAATCATGGCTTATCTTTTAAATTTTTAAGAACTTAATTTTTATTTTTTTTAAAAAGAAAATTCAATTTTTAGTCTTTCAATAATTTTCTATCACATGAATTAGTTTATGAAGTTAAGTCTCATTTATTAAGTGAAGATGTGTATTAATAAATCATATTTGACTTAACTATTAATGCTCATATAATTACTTAATAGATATTTAATTATATAAAATGTGTAATTTTACAATTTTTACTAGACATTTATGGTTATAGAAGTGGAGTTGTTTAAATAACATATTTTATTTTAAAAAAAAATGTATTTGACCATAAATGAATTGAAAATTTTCACGAGACATATAATTTGACTTCTATTATATAACCACCTGAATATCAATAGACAAATCAATCATGATTTATTAGTATATATCATTACTTAACAAATAATAAATAATTTATGAAAAAAAATAAAGGACTAAAAATAGACAATTTTTTTTAAAGGAATTAAAAATCAAATTTTTAAAAATTGAGAGATTAAAAGCTTACTTAATCCAATAATAATATTATGCCGTTAAAAGAGGTAGAGAAGATTCACGAACAATAAAAATTAGAAAAAAAGAAAAGAAACTGATTTAGTATTATTTTAAATTAGAATTTGAAAACACTTCAATACTAATGAAAAGTATAACAACTTTTTAGTGTTTAAAGAATTTACTAATTAATATAGAAAATGATAAAAGCAGACATAATTTTAAGGATAAATCTTCCTTTAAATTTATTCTTTTAGTTCTAAATATAAGTAAAAAAAAATAATCCATGCTAATTAAGAAAACTAGTTAATATTATTTAATGGTACTAATCTCAAATACAAGTAATTTAATTTACTAAACTATCCATTATTAGGACTTAATAATCTTAAAAATAAAAAATAAAACATTAAAAGTAAAATCTCAAATAAATAAATGAGTATTTTGAATACGATAACATTAAATATAAGTAAATTTAGTTAAGATTTACTTATATTTATAACTAACATGATTTTTTTTCTATACTCAAAATTAGATGAAATACTGAAAATATAATTTCTTTTGGGGAGGTTAAAGCAAATGCTTCACTTGCTTTGGGTTGGCTAAGAAACATGCTCAAAGTTTAACATCACTGATGATGTTTAGAAAAGATAGTTATTTGGGGCCAATAAATAATTTGAATATTTTTGACGAGCATATATTACAAAATGGGAAACCCAAGAATTCCTAGAGAGAGCAATGAATGATTAATAAAAAATAAAAAAAAACTTGCTCAAATAAGTAGTGTGCAAATTGCAATGCTACTTAGATACAAGTCTGCATGAGGTGATGTCAGGGCACAACTGGGGTTCGGCAATAGGGACAATGTGGATGTGCTTGAAGCCATGGAATAAGGCATGCTGAATGATACTTATGGGAGCATGAAAGGTTCATAATCTGTTTCTCTTGTCCAAAATCTTCTAGACAAACAGCACACACTTTTCTTTCTTTCTTAAACTTGTTCCCGCGCAGTAACCATGAACTCTCTAATAGCTTCCTACCTATTCCTCCATCCTCCTTCTGCTTTCCCTCTTTTCTTGGACTCTCACTTGACCTGTAATCTATCTATTAAGCAACTGGGGTAATAATTCATTATTCATTAGTACAACCACACCAACACCCTTCTCATAAATCCTATCTTAATTGCGTTTAGCTTTTCTTGTAATTACAAATTAAAATAATTTTATAACTAATTAGAAAGAAAAATTGATCAAACCTCATGTTGATGTATCTAAAACTGTCCTCTTTCAAACAATGGACATCATCACGTGCATCTAGACATTATTATATTTGGATAGAGGCATCTATATAGAGTAGAAGGAATGATTATATATATCTAGCTAGCCCGACAGAGTTTGATTGCCGAGGAATCTAACAAATAAAGTGTTTGATGTGAATTAATCTCAGAATCTGCATATACCCTTAATTAGGCATGTGTGTGTGCATAAAGAAGTGGTGGAAAATGAAAGCAAGTGTTAACAAAAGAAGAAACTCTTGGTAGCTAGCTATATGGATACCTCATACCTGTATGAGGAAAAAAAGTGTCCAAGTTTTTTGTGAAGGCGTTGTCTGGCCTTGAGAGCAGTTTCATCTAAGAGAGTGAGTGAAATCCATGGTTGGTCCCTTAGGTAAGTGGCATGGAGATGGTGTTCGTAAGCATAAGCATAATCATAATCATATCTATGGTTCTGCTCTGTTCTCTTCCTTGGAAGCAAGCCAACACCAGGCAACCTACCAGCCATCAACCCTTCACTGCTTAGATTGCTTATTCTTATCTCAATTGATGGCTATAAGAGGCCGCAAATAATGCATACAAAAATTTTGATGCTTACTTGGGTTGGGTGTGTTAGCTTTTGGTTAACATCAAAAGTTAGAGGGCCCGATTCCCATGACTTTAGCGCTTTCAAATCATTTCAATTATGCATTTTATGACAGCTAACGTGCTCAAGAATATTACTGCTTTCATCTCATGAGTGGGTTGCATTCCATTGGGTCGAGGATTTTGTGTCCATAATTGAAACACGTGGTTCCCCCAAAAGCTAACCTTAAACGGACACACATTCTTATCCAACTCCACTTCTACCATAGCTTCATTTGGGAGAGTCAGAACTCAACATGTCTCTTTTATTATTTTTTTTCTATAGTGAGTCAAGTTTAGGAATTATAATAAGGCAAGTTAAGTCGAAATTTAAATATATAGATATCAACTACTTTATAAAATTAAAGTTAAAGTATACCTAATTATTTATTATAATTTTTTTTTTTATAGATTTTATCTAGTCTTTTAAAAAGTTGATTTAGTTTATTAGTCTGTTTAATTTTATTATTATTAATGAGTTAATAAGTTTAATTTTAAATTAGATGTTCACTAGTATGTTTTATGGGTTAAAAAATGTATATATTTTATTTTAAGAAAATTAAAATAATTTTAAATTATTATATTTAATACATATAAAAAAATGAAATAGTAAATACAAATAGTAATTATAAAGAGGATACTTATATTCATCACAATATAGGAGAAGATATTAAAACATTGAATTTTTTTTTGTGATTTTAGTTCTTCAAGTTCATTTTATTATTGACATGATTTTTGAGAAAAATTGAAAAAATTAATTTTTCATATTCTAGTTTGATTATCATTAAATTATGAGATGTACCGAAGGATAATTAAAATTAAAGATACAAATAATGAATATACATTAAAAAAATATCGTAATATTTGTCACGAATACATTATTATAGTTGAGATGAGATATTATTATTCTCACTATATAATTATGCAATTTTTCTTGTTAGACCAGTTTGTAAATAATTAAGTTAAAATGATAATAATTATATAATAATATAATATTCATTAGTTGATTTATTAAAATTATTTAATTCAAATTCAATTATATTTTTTTTGAATGAAGTTCAATTATCATTTTCAAACTAAACAATAAAAATAAAAAGTAGAGAATAAGTTATAATACAAAGTGTTATAAGCAACTAAACCTACTTTTAATCATTTTTCTAAAATGTTTGAAGAATTTTTTTTTGTGTGTATATTTTAATAAATAATTAATTCTGATTTATTTTAAATAATATTTATTTATAAACAATTTTCTATGATTATGATGTATTCCTTAAAAAATTTAAATTATCTTAATTGAATATTATCCAATTTTTGATATATTCTTTAAAAAAATTAATTATCTTAATTGAATATTACATGATTATTTTATATTATAATTTTTTTATTGAATATCACAAAACTTTTTTATAATAAAAAAATATTTTAAAATCTAAATCCAACACACCCCTTAATTATTTTTAAAGTTTTAATAAAAAAATAACTTTATTTTTAATTATTAAATAAAATATTAATTATACTTTTAATTATAAGTAATTATCTGAAAAAAGAGAT